ATAATATTCAATTTTTTGTCTTTTGATTTTTACATCCGGAAATTCTGCTTTGCATGGACTGATTCCTGGTTTAAACAAATTTACAAGTAAGTTCTTACAAAATCGTGTTTGTCCTCTATCATCGAGTGAATCTATAAGAAAGGGAAAAACTGCTTCATCATCTGGACTTTCGTCACATTGAGTTTGATGACTGTTAATATATAACTATCAATGTGTCTAATTGGTTGATTCCAATTATACAGGTGTACTGGTTTGTGCTTATATTGCTTTTTTATTCTTCTTTTTCCTCTTTTTGATGAATTTGAAGTTGTTTCTTAGTCGGAAAAATAAAATTGATCATGAATGGGGCATTTTTTTTTATTGATTTTTTAAATTTGTATAGTTCATCTAAACTGTTGGCTTCTGATTCAGAAAATGCGTTTCTTTTTTTCGAAAAACTTTTTCGTGTGATTTGTCTTTGATTGTTTATAATTTTTCTTTTTATTGTTTGTCGTTTTGTTCGAATGTATTCAACTGTTTGTGTATATGGAGTGATTACAAGGTCGTATTTTTGGTTATCTTTTTCACAGTTGTGTAAAACGATTGTTTGTTTATTTCCTAAGTTTTTGAATGGCATAAGGTTTAGGATGAGGGATGCAAGAAGTTGTTAGTGATTTTTATTTTCCTAGACTGTTAGTCCTTACGATTTTTTGGTTAGCTTAACCTGGGTCTTTTATTCAGGGTTAGAGAGAAAAGTATATCGATTCCGGAGAATGATTTTTTACTTTCTCGTGGCTAGTCTTAAGTTAAGTTGTTAACTTACTTAATCTTACTTAGGGGTAGTGATTGGGTAGTTCAGGTATAATTAGAACGCAAGTAGTTTGTTAGATATATTTTAAACTTACTAAGTCTAAGATCTATCCTGGGTCTGGTAAGAGGAGGGTTCAAGTGAAGGATGAATAACCGAAGTTCTTAACTGTCTAGCTTAATTTGAATGGTTAGTTTTATTTAAAAATTTCTCTTAGTCCTGGGTCTTTTGAAAATGTTGGATAGTGAATCGACGTTTGAGGTCGTTAGACACTTGCTAAGTGGGTGGAGAGAACAAAATTGTCCTTTTTGATCCAAGGATAGGCCTTAATTATCAGTTTTTTTTTTAAATTAATGAGATCGAAAATTTATAAAGATCCAAGGATAAGCCTTGACGATCTAATTAAAAATTAAGTGAATTTTAGTTTAAATTGGTTTATATTTATTTGATAAAAAGATTTAGTTTTTAAATGATGTTAGTGAGCTTATGATTGCTGTTATGTTTAGGTTATGAAGCTGGAACAACAAGATGGTTTATTATTACTAACTATTTATTGTCATGCTACTAATTTTGATTTTTATTTCAATAAATATTTTTCAAATTCCGTCCGAGATCTTCTTCCAATACCGGGTAGTTCTAGTATTGTGCGGAATATCGGCTCTGATCTATGGAGTTGTAGAGACATTTCAATTAAGTTATTATCGTGTAACATTTTGAAAATGTTTTGTCTAATTTCTAATCTATATTTGGTCAATTCTAAGCTATTAAGGTCTTATTCGAGACTTATGGTAGCACCAGATGAATTAGGACCGACGTGGTTAACTCATAGAGTAATTTTGGATAGGGTACACCGTCTGCTCGTCACGCTATCTTATTTTCGGCCGGATAGATTCGTGCAACTTCTTAGTCTAATACCGATCCTAATCTTACTCTTATATCTACTAGTCTCAGGGTGTTTAACTAGTCTCTGCTAGGCTCAATAGATCTAGGGTATACTGGTTTATTGCGGCTGCTGAAGTTCTCTTGGAGAGGCAACTAATTTCTAAGTTAAATTCAAATCTCTCTGGTGCTGAAATTACAAGTAATTTCAGCACTTACAAATAAGTGGGTTGTTAGTTAGATGGATTATGATTGGTTAATATTAAATATTTTACAGTGGTAAAATATCTAATTTATCCAATAATAAAATGTAGTTTAGATCAGGTTCCAATTTGTTGCAGTTTTGACCTTAAGTAGGAAATTGTCCATTTTTCGATCCCTATCTTGGTAACCATCCAGAGTAGTTATTAAGTGTCAGTTATTTTTTTGATATTTTTTTGAGTGAAAAACAGCAATTTTCGAAAAGATAATAAAAACAATTGATTTACGCGCTGCATACTGGGTAAAGTTAGTCTAAAAGAAACAGAGGTGCAATTTTTTAAAGTCAAATTAGTGGGAGGGAGGGTAATGTGATCAATAAGCCTAATTGGTCTCCATTTTCAATGTGGACTGAATTGGTTCTGGGAGCGGCATATGTAGTTCTTCTTTGAAAGAAATTTACGGAAAATTTGTTTTCGGGTGTTCTTGAAAATGTCCATTTTTGTCGGATTTTTTTTCATACCACCTGAAAATTAAAGTTGTACAAAATTCAAAATTAAACCAAAAATTAACCTGTGATTTTTTCTATTAAGTTAGCGGACGTTTGGGTCACAATAATACAAATTGGGATAACCGACACTCAATATATTTGGTCCTCATAAAAACGCTAGCGGCAATTTAAAACAATTCAAAATAAACTGAGGCAAGCATTTTTCTCCTACTGTTCCGACCTACGAAGTGGCTACTTTTGGGTAGATTTGAATGGAGCGTGTTGGGTAATTTTTCAAACAAAAAATCTGACAAAAAATTTGACGCCACACAAATATTTCAGAATGATTGTTTCGCCTGTGATCATTTGTCGTCAAGTTAATGCGGATTGAAAATTGTCAACTGGGCTAATTTGGGACAATTAGCATGCGTTATGGTTTGTTCTATTAAAGTCTGAGCGACTAATTAAGCGGCTCAGAAATTGTTCCAATTTGATGTAAGTCAATGTTTTTGGACCAATTAAAAAGTTGTTAGATACTTATTGCATACCTTCTACTATACATATCGCATAGTATGTTGGGGAATTTTTCAGACAAATTTTTGAAAAAAAATATATTTAAGAAAAACCTGAAAAGAAGTTTAATTTTTTTGAAACTTTATTAGTGTTTAACTGCGTTTTAAAGATGAACTTCTGCTAGGATTTTGAGGGTAGTCGGAACATTCAGTCAGCTACTAGACGGAAAACAAATCATTTTGTACTTACATAGCGTTTGGGGAACAAAATTAAAAAAAAAACTATAAAAATTGAAAAGAATCTCTCTTTTTTTGTTTCTTTTCAACTCTTTTTTAAAATCCAAAACTATTTCATCGATGCCAAAAGGAATTCGGAACAATCAGGCTTCTTCTTGATACTAACAAGTTTTTGTTTCGACAATGAAGAAAATGCGTGCTCGGGGTGTTTTTTTTTCCAGAACACGTTTAGACTTTTCAATGAGCCATTTTTGACGGTGCTTTTGTATATTGTGAGAATCTTTTCCTGAGCTCAAGATTAAAAATTTTATTTTTTTTTGTAGTTGAAATGTTTTTTTTTTTTGCAAAAATTAAAAGGTTTGATGGATATTAGCGTGCAAGCGTTGATTTTCAATAAAATTGAAAAGGTCGTCATTTAAGAAGTGAAAAGTTCGTCAAGAAGTAGAAAAAAAACCCATTCAAGCAGCTGAAAAGGTCGTCAAACTCAAATTAAGAAAGATATTTTAATGGGATCATTATTTGTAAAGTTACGGGGGTTTAAAAGTCGCTAACTTGGTCAATTTGAGATAATTAACGAGCAATATAATGCGTTCATCTAACATGCGAAAGCAGCAAGGTAATGCGTTCCAAATTGGATTGAGGCCAGCAATTCAGATCTCCTAAGACAATAACAGTCTCTAGCCGGCCTTTTCTATCTTACAATGCATGAGGGGATGAAAAAATGAACAAAAAATTATTTTCTTTTTTTTTCGACTAATTCGGCAAGTATTCGACCAAAAAGTTCTGTTATTGACCTTAAAGTGCAGCTCTGATATACGAGCAGCTTTGCAGCTTTGTTTGCTTTCATATGCTGAATTAAACTTGAAAATATCAAAAAAGCCGCTAACTTATGGTACTGTGTAAATTCATCTGTGCTAATTGGTCTAATTACTTTCAGTTACCACTCAACTTTTAACACTTAAAAATTGATATTATCAGCCTAAAACCAGTTAAAGGGCAGTCTTTTTATGAATTGGGACAAAAATATACAGTGAAACTTTTTTATGTTCTCATATATGGAAAATGCTTATCGTAGACTTTTTATTATGTGCCTGCCCGGGTTGACCAAAAGTCGGTATCTTAGAACTTTTCTTAAAAGAATCTTAAAACAACTTATCTCTAAAAGTGTTGCAAGATAAGCACTTTTTCTGACAAGCAAGTAGTAAGATAGTGACTTTTACTACAAGAGAGTTGCTTTGTTTGCTTGTTTTTTTTTTCATTTTTTTCTTATAATTTGTTTAAAAGTTCTCCACTGACGCAGAGTACAGTGACTAAAACTCAGGTACCAAAAGACTCGTTTCGCATCGTGAGTTTACTGACAAGCCCACTAACTAAATGAAGTTATTTTTTTTGCTGAGAACAAAAAATTTTGTGGATACACACTCGAACCCCACAGACAACACGTCCGCAGCTATATGACATGATTCGTCAAAGTTGAATTTTTTTGTCTCCAAAATAATTCCAATCAACTAATTACAAATAATAAATTTCAATGAAAAAAAATTTCCTTCTGAATTTTTTGTTCGAAAGGCTTTCAATATAGCATCTACATGGAATTTTTTACATGCAAAAACATGGAAAAAAAATCAAAAATTTTCCAAAATTTGTAGGAAATTTCCGCTATCTTAGAATATTTCTTATAAGAAAGTTCTAAGAAAGCTGAAATTTTATAAAAATGTTATAAGAAATTGTAAAAAAGGGGAATTTTTGTAGGATGATCAACCCGGGTGTTGTACTTGATTTTTCCGTACCTGTGATTTGACATGATAAACATTTTTCTCAGCTGGAAGTTGAATGATAAGCAATTTTGGGCAACCCGGATGGTGATTAGGGGTAAAAGAGCAATATATATTTTCAGGTGTCGACTGCTGGTGGTCTTTGAGCTTCATCATACCGCAGCCCCTCTCTGAAAGCGGCAGAAACTGCTCTATTCTCAAGTTAGTCCAAAAAATCTGTGTTTTCTAGTATTTAGGAACCATTCACAGTCTGTCTATACACCTTATAAGCCTCATTTAGATTCTGCAGGATTATCTTTCCTGCTATAAAACCTATTAATTTTTGACTGTACGTCATGAAAGGTTGTCGCTCACACAGCACAGTTTCATAGTATAGATAAAATGATCACCAAAAAATATGTGAAATTTTTTGAAAAGTATGTTTCCAGAGTTTTTGGCCGCACGGGAAGATTTGTTTCACTTGTGTATGTGATAACTGACAGAACCTCTGAGGTTTATAATGAAAATAGACTTGGTTTCGAAGAGTTAATTTAATGGTTGAAACCGTATTGTTTTTAAATAGTTTTCTTTTCTGAGTTCAACTGTGCACCGAGCCACAGATCTGAGAGTCAATCTCTCTTTTTTGTCTCAATAAAGGTCACACATTATTGACCTTGATTTACATAATAAGATAATATAATTTATAAATAACAATATGAACAACTGAGCCAAGGCCACAATATGGTTACTGCAAATGCAGTAGCAGTTGCGGCACCACATACCCCGCTCAGCCAAGAAAGTTTTATTATACTTTATCAAATTTTAATAATATTGAATAGGAGTTTTAGAACTCAGTTTAAGGAGTTTTTGTTTTCTTGTTGCATTTGAATCTTTCTAATTCACTTTCCGTCTTTTTCTTCGTGCTCTTCCTCAAAGTGTAGTGGGACCCGCCACTCAGCGTTCCAAGATCGATGAATGTCGAGCGCCTCGCTGCCAAATTTTCTTCTGAAGAGATGTTTTTCTAGTAGTCCAAACTTCATTTCCACCGAATTCGACGCATCTGGTTTGAATTTTGCTAATTTGATTCGGTATGCATCAAATGCGGCCTGATTTAAATCTAAGAGATCGTTATGATTCGAAATCGACCTTACCGAATATTTAATTGGATTCCCGTATCTAATTGGACCCTTTTTTGACCTCCCGCTTTTTCGAACAGATGTTTCTTCTACTTCTGATTCATCCGAAAACCCCGGAGGATTATTAGATTCTTCCCCCTCTTCCGCAATTTCTTTAGAGTTCAATATATCTGCCGCCGTGCGCTGTACTCCTCTCTCCAGCACCTGATCAGCCAATCGGTTCCAGTCCGCTGCCGTTAAATCTTTGCTGTTAATTTTGGTGCTCCCGCTGAGTTTGATGAACACGCCTGAGGTTCTTCTTCGACTGCCGTGGCAGCACACTTATTCTGTAGATTGGTTGGTTGAGGATCCTTCGCGCCTGTGCCTCCTTTTGACTTCGATGTTTTAGTGAACGGCCCGGCCATGTTGGGTTTGGCCCTTTTCACCGCTAGATTCAAGCCACCGCCTTGCAGAATATATTTTCACGTGACCACAATTGGGCTGTCCTGGAATTTTTGCTGTGCCTCTACCGGATCTATGCTTCGCTGCTCTAGCAGTAAATCCTCTTCAGATCCACTATTCTCAGCTTCCTCCTGATCATCGGACTGCCGCTGTGATTGTTTTTGTTGCTTCTTTTTAGGTTCCTCTCCTGTTGGGGAGCGTCTATGGTTATTTTTGTCCTGCACAACAAACTTAGCCTTGGCAATGTCACTCTTCCGGTATATAGACCCTGCTGCTTTTTTGACAGTAGAGGGCGTTTCTGCCACGACTTTTCCTTTCAGCGGCTTTGTGAGAGCTTTTCCGCTTTTCCTCCCCTCATCTTTTCTGAGTAAGATGAGTGACCATTGACGTTGGTTGATTATATCTTCCGGTTTATCCTCGACAAAACCACGTTCCCACGAGTACAACATTTCTTTTCGTAGCTCGGGGTTAATCGTACTTGTCTCCTCCACCGTACGTCGTAAGTCGTTCGCAGATGTATCGCGTCTGGTTTGACTCCACATGGCGTTAGCTTCCAGAAGTTCCATCAATGCTCGAGCTCTCGCCCGATCCTGAGCCGACTCAACCTGTTGTTTAAACAGAGAACTCACATCTCTGCTGTTTTGTCCTTTTCTGACAATTTTCAGGCTATCGCGAGACTGGTCACTGCGCTTTTTGAGTTGAGAGGCGGTGAGCGCAGAACGTTCCAGGTGTTCCTTATCATAGCGAGTGAAGCTTCTGCATTCCTCCGCCAGATTGACTATATCCTTGTGCATGTGCGGCCACCACAGGTATTTCGAAACATCTATCATCGCTTCCTGACCTGGGTGACCGCGATGAATTCTCTTTAATACTGCTTGGCGCAATTGCCCCGGAACAGCTAGCCTGTTGTCCACCAGTATACAGTCATCCACCACAGAAAGTTGATTCCATAGAGGGTTTGAATACGGGCCCAACAACTCGAAACTATGACGATCGTTTCTTTCAATCACTCGTCGAAGTCTATCCATCCAAGCATCCTCCGAAATCAACTCTGCTAACAGACTCCTATCGAACAATTTGTTTCGAGACTGTTTTCTGTACTCATTGCCCCTTGGCGAGGGTCGTCTTTTCTGGAGTTGTGACTTGTCTTCTCCTTTTTAATCACGCTGACTTCTGGACTCTCGGACGGGCTTTCAGCTGTAAGGTCCACTTATATGATTGATGGTTGGACATTTGTCTCCAATTCCTGTTCATGTCTGCTCCTGTTTTCCAGAACTGTCCGTGCTTCGAGTTCTAGTAGATTTTTCGGGTTATCGGATTTTTCTGCCCCCATGAGATCCCAGAATGACATTAGATTTGTCTCTGCTACTTTGCCAGATGTGATTTCGTTATATTCTTTGGGTATGAATGATTTCTTTACTGTCCTCCACTCAACCTGGGGCACTTCAGAATCGGAAGTATCCGAGTCCTGCCTACTGCACACTGCTCCTCTTTTCACCATGCGTGTTCGGGGAAAAGTAGTTTCCGTCACCTGCTCTGTCAATTCGTCCCCCCCCCCCCGATCTCCATTTTGTCTGTTTGTTATCTTCTTCGACTTTTCGGATTTGTTTTTCTCCATCTTTTTAATAAACGCTGCTTGAGTAAGTTCCACCGGATGTTTTGAAATTTGAATGCAATTTTTTCCGTTTAAGTTTTTAGTAAATTCTGAGTTTTCGACCGACTGTTTCTTGCGAGCTATCTTGAACAATGTGTTTTTCTGATTCTGTTCTTTTTGAAAACGTGAACTTCGACCGTTTTCGTTCCGGTCGAGCTTTGTCCAGTTTTGAACAAATTGGTTATCATAGCAACCGTGTGATGAGCTGCCTTTACAGTGGTTAATTTCTCTCTTTAAACCAGAATGTTCTAGAACATTAATGTCAATGTTTTGATTTGTTTCACTAAGCCGTTTGCTCAAACAGTCGAGTGCTTTGTGAAAACTTTCAATAGAAGTCACTACAAATCTCTCATCTAATTCCGATTCCGGCCATGGTTTCCCATTGGGCTCTCTCGACAGATAATCAACGATACCCATATCCCTTCCCGAAATATGAGTAACTTTAAATTGGTACGGTAGTAATCGGTCCACCCACCTTGTTAATCGAGATTGATACGTTTTATTTGATCTATGCTCCCCCAAAGCAGACGTTAAAGCTTTGTGATCTGTTGCTATAACTAATGTTTTTTTCCCAATAAATAATGTTTGAAACGATCTACAGCCCAAACTACTGCTAGCAGCTCGAGTTCATTGGTAGAATATTTTATTTCTTGGGAATTTAAATACCGGGATGCAAATGCAATCGGTACCCATTCGTTCTGATTAGACCATTGATCAAGAGTAGCCCCTAGGGCACTTTACTTGAGTTTGCTTAGATGGATCGTAATAGTTTAATAAAGCGATGTTAGCTACTGCCTTTTTGATTTCCTCAAAAGCTACAGAGTGTTGGTCGTCCCACTCAAATTTTTTCACTGGCAGTCGAACATTCTTTATTTTCTTTTTTTCATTTTCTTCTTTCAGTAGTGGTCGAAGTTTATCAGTTAAACTAGCCGCGTTTGGGATGAATTTAGATAAATGATTAATACTACCCATGAACGATCTAAATTGTTTTAGTGACTTGGTGGGTTGGAGATTTGCAATAGCCTCAGTTTTCGTAATTTTCGGTATTATACCTTCTGCCGACAAATTATGGCCTAACCAATTCACTGAGGGCTGAAAAAAATCACCTTTTGTAATTCTTAATGCGAGATTTTTGTCATCCAACTTTTGCAACACATCGCGGACCAATTTCTCATGATCCCTAGCTTCCCCCTTCGAGACGATTATAATATCATCTGGGAAACAAAAGGTATTTTTGGAGTGATTCAGTGTTCTATCCATTGCTTTCTGGAATTCAGCGGGCATGTCTGCCAGCCCGTAGAAACCTGTCAGAAACCTATATTTTCCCGTTGCTTGGCCTCCTACGATGTTAAAATTGCATTGTTTTGCTGTTTCCACAGTTACTCTTATTTGACTGTAGGCATACTTTAAATCCAACACGGTGAAATACAGTGAGCCTTCTGATGTTGCCGTGGTTATTTGGCTAACACCATCTATCAATTCATCCGCGTTTGGCATCTGATATTTGTTTTTATACAGTTGTCTATTGATAGGTTTTGCGTCCAAAGCTAACTTAATAGAGTTGTCTTTCTTAACTGTGATAAAAATTGGAGCAATAAAACAATCGCTTGTGCAATTATCGAATTTTTCAATGTGTCCTTCCGCAAAAAGTTTATCTAACTCTGCTTGTACTTTATCCTGAATGTGTATAGGGATTCTCCTACCTTTTTCTTGGATCGGACATAAAGGCTATTTAACTTTTGTATTCACAGTATGATTCTTTGACTCCCCTTGTCTATCAAAGAGATTTTTAAATTTATTATAGATTTAAACGTTTATTGATGTCAAACGTTTTCCAACTTCATGATAAAATACGTTGTGTCCCACTCTAGGTCCTCTCAAAACCCGCTCTTCGTTTTCTAGAACCACTCTGTCCCGTGCCAATCTGTTCCGGGCTCCTCTCTCTGCTACTGCAGGTGCATCCTCGTTCGGCACTGGTGGTTCAGGAACTGGTAGAGGTTCTTCCAGGACGATTTTGGGTTCTTCTAACATTACTTCTGGATCCACGTTCTCTTTGACCGTAACAGCTAATAGGAACTGATCAAACCATGTTTCGAAAGTCCAGGGTGGATCTGAATTTGCAGAGGCCCAGAATACTGGGATTCCCATATCTGTCCTATTGTCTTGAGCTGTAAAACCGGATCCTGCTGGCTGCGCCATGTGATAACTGACAGAACCTCTGAAGTTTATAATGAAAATAGACATGGTTTCGAAGAGTTAATTTAATGGTTGAAACCGTATTGTTTTTAAATAGTTTTCTTTTCTGAGTTCAACTGTGCACCGAGCCACAGATCTGAGAGTCAATCTCTCTTTTTTGTCTCAATAAAGGTCACACATTATTGACCTTGATTTACATAATAAGATAATATAATTTATAAATAACAATATGAACAACTGAGCCAAGGCCACAATATGGTTACTGCAAATGCAGTAGCAGTTGCGGTACCACAGTGTAAAATCGGTATGTTTTTATATTTGCTGGATTGATTTTAAATTAAAAATGTTTTTAGCGACGAACAACATTAGTTATTTTGTGTTAGCAAAATGTTCTTTTTCTCCAAAGGAAGCAGTTTTCGTTTAGAAAAAACTTCTGTCTCCGCGGCTACTTTACCGACAGCCCAATCGCAACTGAGCCTTTTCTGCAAACTTACTACTCCCCTTCTCCCAAATTGAATTTATTTCGAGCACAAGAAGAGTTCATGAGTCTGATTTACCCAATATTTCAAACAATCAACTTCTTCTCATTCAGCACAAAGCGGTTCGGTAAGCTATTTAATAATATGGTTCACTGATCAGAGAATCGAATTTTTATTATGATTATAAAAAGTCCTAAAATGAAGAAACCAAATCAAAAAAGTTCCAAATAGTTTTGAAAGGGTGAACTTAAATCCAGAGAGCTTCGACACGACATTGTTTGACCTCCGAAGACCAATAGTGCTAATCATACAATTCCATAATTGAGGCATATCGTCATGACTGTGGTGTATCGCCATAAATACAAAAGAAAAAATTGTGGCATTTCTTTTATTTATACCATTTCCATAAGTTGAAATTGCATGACTAGCATTTTTGATACCGACACCAAAATGGCGATTGTGGTGCACAAAACTTACAAAAGTAAAACTGCCATGAATTGAGAACTGAAAAGTAGAGAAATTATAAATATATCAAATCTAATGTGAAATGGGAAATTTATGAAATATGTTACGTAGCAACTGCACTAAACAGGAAATGAGATAAATTGAAAACCAACAAGACTGCTCGTATCAGGGCGAAGCCTTGAAAGTTCCAACGGCCTTTTAACGCTTATAGAGCAGTAATAACATAAACAACATGAAAAAATTAAATGAAATAAAATAAAATGAAAAACTTTTTTTTCTAAAATTTGAAAATTTTTCATTGAAAACCATCCCCCACACGCCATACAAAGTACAAAACAAGAGATTTTGCTCCTTGTAACAAATCAATTACGGCAAATAAGCTTCTTTCAACCAATTTGGAACGATTTGTAGGACGGATTAAATCTCCGCTTACGCGTTAATAGCGCGAATTATATCGCGCGTAAATTGTCCCAAGTTGGTCAAAATGACCAAAATGGCAATCTTTAAACCCTCATAACTTTACGAAAAATGATCACAGGTGAAATATTATTTCAAATTTAAGCTCCGGACAACAATAGCTTTCGAATGACATAAAAACATTTCGTCAAAAATTGCTAGTTAAAAAGTCGAAATTTGTCTGAAGAAAAAAAAACCCACCCCGAGCACAAATATTCCGTTACTTTCGTATCGAAAGTCGGAACAACTATCAAATTTTATCATAAACCTCTCAAAAAATCCATTATATTTGATTATAATTGATTGTAATAGATTATACTGACAGAAATAAAAATTAGTATAATAATCCACTTTGAATTGACTATAAAACTACTTTTGTCTAGTTTTAGAGATACTGACAATCAATTGACAATATAACCCATTATGATCCATGGGCGCTCCTCCCTGGCAACGTAGTCCTTGTAGTCCAAAAGTTGGATAATTTTTTGTTTTTTTTGGAAAATTTTTTCTATTTTTGTTTATTGCAACTTTTCGAGATTGGTAAGCTAATGGGTACGCTAACTTTGAGCTACCAGGGTCTTTGTCACTTGTGCTTGGTTACAAACAAAGCCCAATCAAATAAAAAATCTAAAAATCTAAAAATCTAAAAATCCGAGGAAAATTTAGTTTGTTTGAAAATTGAACAAAAAACATAAACGAATTTTCCACTTCACAAGATTTTGTTAAAAAATTGTTTAAGAGCAAGTTCGCTTGATTTACAGTTTAATTGTGACGCATGACTATCACCAATTTAAGTCAATTTCATTCATTTTTTCAGTTACTTTTAAAAGGTTATATTTTGAATTTCATCCCTCCTCTTCCTAGTGGTATTTTGTACAAATTAAATACAGGTCATTATTGTCTTGTTTAAATCTCAATTATTATGGCTAAAACTTAAATATGTTTACAGGGGCAGATTTAGTGGGGGGGGGGGGCGGGGTGGGGCGGACGCTTTACTTTCAGGGATTCGACTCCCTGCCGACCCAAAGGGTCCCCCCTTTGTACTATTTTGAAATATCCATTTTTGGTGGCGTACCCTGAAAAAAAATTTAAAGCCGCCTTTGGCGCCAATATATTTTATATTTGAGAGACGGAGTGCGCGCCAAAAAAAAACGCGGTTTTTGGTCAAAATTTTCAAAAAAGTGCCTAAAAACGCCTTTTACGGCCTGTTTTTTTTCTTCAAAATTTTGCGCAAAAAGGGTCTTTTTATTGGTTTGAGAGATTTTTTGAAAATCCGCCCCCCCTCGAGAAAATCCTAGATCCGCTCCTGCCCCTGTATAGTTATGAACATTTTTTTATTATTGAAAGCTCTAGCTGCAGATGTTTAAAACTATTAGAATACCTCAGTGCAACTGTATAAAGCAGAATTAACTGTTCCCAAATGAAGTTATATATATATTTATTTGTTGTTTGTTAGAAAGTTGCACATGGCATTTAAACGAAAATTTGCTTCGATGTACTTTTTATCACAGCGGAAACAAAGATTGTCAACTCTGAATTCTAAACAAGACTGCTCGTATCAGGGCAAAGCCCTGAATGTTTCGACTGCCCTCTAAGGTTTATGGAGCAGTAATAAGATTTGAAAAATAAACGCAAGAAAAAAAATTAAAATTTTTTTTCTCTAAAGTTTGAATTTTTTTTTGAAAATCATCCCCCCACACGCCATATAAAGCACAAAAGGATAGATTTCGCACCTTGTAACAAATCAATAATGGCAAAAAGGCTTCTTTTAACCATTTTGGAACGATTTCTAAGACGGATTAACTGTCCGCTTACGCTTTAATAGCGCAAAATATATCGTGCGTTAATTGTCCCAAATTGGCCAAAATAGCAATCTTTAAACCCCCGTAACTTTACGAAAAATGATCACAGGTGAAATATCTTTTCAACTTTGAGCTCAGGACAATAAAATCTTTTGAATGATAAAAAAAATTACCTCAAAAATGGCTAGTTAAAAAATCGAAATTTGTCTGAAGAAAAAAACCCACCCCGAGCACAAATATTCCGTTACTTTCGTATCGAAAGTCGGAACAATTATACTTTTGCATGCAGTTCAGCATCAACGCGAACAAGCCGTATTTTGACAAATATGGTCCGGGATAAAAGCACTCAAATTGGAAGTATTATACAATATGACAAATGTGAATGAAAGTAAAATCTCAACGCAGTGGCAAATAAAAAATTGAAGGTTGGAAAAAAAGTGCGTCGTAGGGCGTTTTTTACGCAAAATAAAGTATTTATAGATTGTTTTTATGTCATCGATTGTGATCTCATATTAAAATTTCACGTGAAACGGATTTCAAAAAAGTTTCAAGCAGACCAAAAACGAGTCGTAACTTACAGGACTTACTCAACTAGTTTTTATTATAAACTCTTTGGCAAATCAGCTACAAAAAGCATATTATCAATAGATTTCAAAAGCATGTTTTTATCTAGCAATTATACATTTCACTTCGGAAAACTCATTTTATCTTGGAAAAAATTCATTTTTTTTTTGTTCATTTTGGCAATGATAACAGTAATAAAAATTCTTCGATTAGATTTCTATATATTCCTTGCTTCAGGCCACTGCTGTGATTACCAGAGATCAATTTACACAATTTATGGCTACGGCAACGGACACTCGCCCATCAATTACATCAAAAAATTGACTGATTTTTCGACCAAGAATAGAAAACACCTGACCTTTATAAGGGTAGGAAGCAGTTTATACATTTTCATAGAAAGATTATGATCTGAAACCGTTTTCTAAAAAGACATTCTAACAAATCGTTGAGAATTTCTTCCGAACTACCGAACTATATTCCTGAAATGTTCCCCCTTTCAACTAATTGCCAAATGACCAGATGGCAATGATAATTTCATTTTTGAATTTACATCAAGAGGCGGTTCAGGATTTTCTCGAGGGGAGGCGGATTTTCAAAAAAATTTCAAGAAATTGGCCGACTTTTTTAAGTCGACCAAATTGATTTTCCAAGTGCTCCCAGAACAAAATGAAGGCCTTATTTATGCAAAGATTTCTGCGCCGCAGGCATATTAATGAAAAGCGAAATTGGTAAAAAATTCTGTTTTTGAGCATTTTTTGGAAAGTCTGCATTTGTTGTGTTTTTTGCAGGTTTTGCATTTTTTGCAATTTTGCGATTTTTTTGGTTTTTTTTTCGACGCGCTCTCCCCTTCAAATTTGGCATATTTTTGCGCCAAAGGCGCCCGTAGAAAAATTTATGGTTCTTTGGTCGAAAATGGATGTAAAATCCCCTTCGCCCTTAAATCCGCCCCTGTCTACAGCTACTACATGATGTTTTTGTTTCAGGCCAATTTTGAGCCATCCATCTGTCTGAACGTCATCCTTGAAATCGGATTTGGTTCGGGCAGCCTGAAGATTGACGGCAAGGTATCAAAAGACATTCAATTCGTGTTCCCTATCCAGTATGAGAGAGAGACTGTAATATACAGCAACTCTCAATTGACGAGTGGATCTCTTAATTTCAGAATGTGGAAAAGACAGTTTGTATGTCCCGATAATCCATGGCTATGTCTCGAGCAAAGTGAACGCCCCAGCGAGCAAATTGCTGGACTTCTTAATGAGCAGAAACTTATTTAGTTAATAAAAGTTTTATGATAGAATATTAAAAATGAGATAGACATTTTCTTAAACGGAGGATTTGGGAAATAATTTTAGTTTTTTCATGGACGGATTTAATTAAAGGGTGGACGCCCCCCCCCATCCTTCAGGGATTCGACTATGTCAACCCTAAAGGGTGAAATTTGGATCTCTTTTTGACATCCAATCCCGGATCTACTAGTCCTAAAAACTTCTGAAGGCGTCTATTGAGTCATTATATTCTAGTTTTGAGTGGGCAACACCGCAAAAACACAATATTTTTGATCATAACTTCTTGGCGAAAAATGACCCAAAAATCAGAATTTTTGACATTTAAAAAAAATTGATTGCAAAGCAGAACATTTTGGCAAAATAGGGTATTAACGGTGTTTTGGGAGAACTAAAAAAGCTCAAAATAAACTTTCAAAAAACATTGAAAAAACATCCTCCCCCCATCGAGAAAATTTTAGATCCACGCCAAATTTTCGGGTTACATTCGCCTCACTCTCTGAGAAGTCCTGGGTTCCACTCAATAGGTTTAATGTTTTTTAGTCAACCAACCCAGAGGCCTAGTCCGGAGGTTAATTATTTAGATTGATTTGAACCAGCAGTCATATCAATTCGAAGTACAATATTTAGTCAAACAACCTCCGATTGTTGCAATTATACCAGGTTTGTTTCCATGCGATTTACCCTCAGCATAATTCAGTAATTATAACATTTAGCGCCAGGATAGCGGAGGTGAATTGGTTGTCTCCGCCTCTCAATCGTTAAGCCGGATGTTCGAGGCCGACCATCATGATACGGGCTTGTTGCTTGAGGGTGAGGCAACATTACCCAGTCAGAAAAAAATCAAAAAAATTTGCATTTAGTTTTTAAGAAGGGGCATCACAGCGGTTGCCCCTTCTTAAAAGTTTCTATCCAGTTCTAGAAACTTCTCGCGGGGGGGGGGGGGGGGATTTCAAAAAATTTAGAAAATTTTGTCGACCCTTTTTTTAGGTCAATCAAATTGATTTTCTGACCTCTCCCAAATCACTATAAAGACCCTAATTTAACATACTTTTCTGTGCCGCAAGCAAATTTGTGAAAAAATAGGCCAAAAAAGGCGTTTTTTTTGCATTTTTTGGAAATTTTCGACCAAAAATTGCGGTTTTTTGGCGCGCGCTCCCCCCTCAAAATTAGGATAGATTGGCGCCAAAGGAAATTTTAAATGTCAGTCGGCCAAAAATGGATATCTCAAAATAGTACAAAGGGCGACCCTTTGAGTCGGCAGGGAGTCGAATCCTTGAGGAGGGGGGGGGGTGTCCTACCCCGCGCCCCTCTCCTAAATCCGCACCTGGTCATATCTCTTGTAGATAAGTCGACTTAACGGTCACCGCCTCTTTTTTTTTACCGACTGCAACCAGCACCGCCGCTTTGTCTCCTTGGAAACTTTCGCTTTTCGGTTTTTAGAAAGACTTGGCTAAATTTTTCCCCAATCTCTCTTACATGATTCACTTTTTCTCTCAGCTTGGCTTAAATGAGACATCTTTGATACCCAGTGACACCGCCAACAATCAAAATTGGGGTTTAATATTGTCGTCTTTCATTCTGAAGATAACAATGTCCGACAGAATTGAGGAGCTTTTGTTGCTATTGAAATTATAGTCTCAAACCAACACTGTCTAATCTTCAAAAAAACAATTCAGTCTAATTTTACAATTTCTGTTATCTCACTGTTTTCTAAGGCTCGAGTATAAATATCCACATTTTACACAATTAAAGAAACGCGGTCAGGCTCTTCTCGGAGATTCAGCCAAAGTAATCTTTTTGTATGACTGCTTTGTTTTGAAACCAGGCTTGAATTCTGTTCATTCCGGGTATTCATTCTAAGTAGAATCTTCTCTCATTCGAGTCATCATCTCTTATTCCTGCCGCCGCTGTATCGCATTAGGTATACGAGCTTATTTAAAGTCGCTTCGCCAATTCTTCTTTGTCATTTGGTGATTACATAACCGTCCGGTTTACTTTTCCATGGAAGTCCATCCAAGGGGTCAAGCCTGAGCCAGACCTGACCAGTGAGAAAAAAAAAACAACTCGAAGTTTTCAAGAATTGTCCAGGAGTTTCCGTATAGCTCTAAGAAACCGGAGCTGGTTTTTCAGGATGTTTGCTAGGAACCAGGTCTGGACGGACAGGTTTTTTGCGCAATTCGGAACTTCAAAAATTGGAAATGCCCAAACCGGAATGAGGTATAGGTACATAATGGTGAGCTGGGCTCAGAAAAGGAGGTAGCTTCTGAAAAAACCCAAAACGTTTTGTGCCCGAAGACTAAATTCTCTCCTTCCAAGCTAACTACCAGCTAGCTATTAAGAGAAAACATCAAAAACATAGACCAAAATCAAAAAGTCATAAGAGCCGGTTTAGTCATATGTCTCCATGTCTTAAGATGGAAGAATATTTTCGATTTTTATATCCGTTTTCGCTATCGCAATCAATCGAAATTTGTTGCACTAATCGTCCAGGTTAACGGTTGAATCCTGAGTAGGCATCGGTGCCAAAACACATCGAGGCAGTGGAAGGTTATTTTGAACGGTCACTGATCTGCTTTATTAAAATCCAACTATTACTTGAGCTCAAGAAGTGAAGAGTCAACCTGAAATTGAGACTGAAAAGATTATTCTGCTGATCAACATCTACACCTGCACTTGAAAAACTGACAATTTGTGACCGGTGTATATTCATCAGATCAAACACAATTATACTATATCGAGTAATTTTAAATTGCTCTTTGAGCCATTTTTTTTCTCAAAACAACTACTCGAAAATGCAATCCAGGAACCTTTTTTGGCCTTTAACAGTAAAAGCATTGGTTGAAAACTGTGAATTACCCCAGGTTACCTGTCTATCTTAGTCCATCCACGGGGAAAAAAACCAGGTCAGAGTCTTGCAAGAGAGCCATGGACTCCCTCGAGCAGTCTGAGAGTCCATTGCTGGTTTTTAAGGAGGTTTTCAGGGAACCAAACCCGGACGTAATTTTTTGGTTAATCGAATTAATCAAGGATATTATATTTCTATATAAAAATCTAGAGGTAAATTGGCAAGAATTTTGCAGATTAATTGCATTTGTAGGTTTGCCTTCGAAAATTTGTTTTGAGCATTGTACACAAATATGATAACAAAACAACTTTTATGTGGCTCGACAGCTTCTGCTTTAAGAAAATGGCGTTTAAAAAAGTGGGATGAGTTTCGTTTTAAGCGAAAGTAATTATGGCGACACGCGAAGCGACATTTTTCGTTTTTGCTTCTCTTTGTGCGATAAATTGAAAAATTGAATCTGGGCTACTATATAAACAAAAATGGCAAATTGGCATGCAAAAAAAATCTGAAAACGTTTCTCTGAGCATAAATATGACTTTGCGGCGGCTAAAAAAATATCTCTTTCAGAATTTTTCTATCATGTTTCTGTAATGTTTTTATTTTAAGAAAATTTTCGATTATTGGCATTAGACTTTTTTCCGAAAAATTTCTTGGACTGAGATTAATTCATGAAAACATAACAGGTAGAGTTTTGGTAAAACAGCAAAAACCTCATGGAGACCAAAAAATTGATTCACTTTGTTGATAATAACCTCAACCTTTAAGTTTCACAAAAAATTATTTAAAACTTTTGGTATTTTTATATTTTGTAAAAATTGATCTTTTTTGGCCAAATTGAGAAACTAGATCAAATAGAAGAGCTTCCGCGGTGATTTCTAAAATATAAAATATTCAGTTTTTTGCGCATTTAATCTCTTTTTGGAGGCTCATTGTTCAATATTTTAGCAATGAAAAGTAATTGAGCTAAGAGAAAAATCAACTGTTAAACTCAAAAAAAAATGTTGAAAATATTCAACAACTATAACGAGTTTTTCTTGAAAATTACAAAAAAATCAAAAAGATCTATGTCAGCGACCTCACTACGTTCTGTGGCCTTGAAGGTTTTATTTAACGAAAGGTTTTTTAAGTTCACGCTTTTAATTTTGGAGAGTATACAAAATACTTAGGGTGTTTTTTATTCAATCAAATCTCGACTTTTTACTATGTTTTTTGGACAAACTTCTACATAGCAGCTCAAACATTTTCTGAAGGAAATTGGTTTCAAAGATATTGGTTTTTATAAGAGTTGGTTTTAACTGCCCCATATGCAATGTCACCGAAAATAAGTCAGTATATCCATTAGAGTATATCCATATTTGGCCAAAAAAGATATTTTGATATTTTTCGATTTCAAATTTTTAAACTGATATTCGTTTTAATGAGAGTTTGAAAAAGTTTTTTGATCGAAAATGTTTTTCATTAACGTTAAAGGGGGGCTGGATAATTTTGGAGTTCGGAACAGTTTAAAACTGAGAGAAATTCAGTTTCGTTTGAATCACGCATAAAATCACACTATCTTACTGACTTCTTTTCGGTGACCTTGCATATAGGGCAATTAAAACCAACTCTTATAAAACCAGTATCTTTGAAACCAAATCCTTCATGAATTTTTGTTGAGATTTTTGTCTAAACCTACTTGATACAGGTTAGAACCTGGCTCGAGATACCTTGATTAGATTTTGTCAAAGTCATTTAATTTTTTGTCAAAGTCATTTTTTGTCAAAGATTTTGTCAAAGTCATTTTCATGAAATATGAATTTGAATTCAGGCTTCCTTATTCAAAAATATTTTTTACAAAGCTTGATTCGATGAGCATAAATTCATAATGAAGCTCACTTTTAAGTTTCAATTAGTTCCAAATCACATCACCGAGCACCTTTTCTTCTTTTCTCTGCTATCTTTTGCGTTGGCCGCTGAATTGTGCTTCTTGTTGCCCCTCTTGCTCTTATTGCGAGTGTTCCGATTGGTCTTCCGTGACTCATTCCTGCTCTTTGATGCTGCTACCTTATTGGTCGCACTCACTGGACGGCTTGTTGCAGTAGGCATGAATCAAAATTTAAGGCTGTTTTGATGTATACGAAAATACTTAGAGTATATCCATATT